CCAATGTTCTTAATTTTTTAAATATCATGATTTTACAATTAATAAATTACCACTTTTAGAATGTGGTGGTATGTTAAACACGAATTATTACATTTATTTCATCTGATCTATTGTCTCTAGGCCATGGTCCACGTGGACAATTGGGCATCCCTTCATTTTCCCATGTGCTGTTTGGGAATGGATTCCGCTGCTCTCCTGTTGATTTCTCAACTGGGGTATCATCTTTATGGTTGCACGAGCTGTCATCTCATTAAAATTGAGATAGATGGCTCTAAAGCCTGCCACGTTATTTAACATAACTAAACAAAAAAATATGCCGTTAAGTTTTCTTTTCCATTTTCAAGTCATCTATTCCTTTTTTATTTTTTTTAATTATTTTATCTCGTTTAAGCCATATTTTCAACTCTTCTTCCACAAAACTAAACAAGGTTAAAAAGAAGATGTTAATCTTATTTATATTTAATAAAAAATTTAATTTTTATTTGATTGGAGATATAAATAAATATTACATTTTAAAAATAAAAATGAAAACAAATATAATTTTAAATTTTATTGAATATGAGAATGAAAATAGATAATATAATATCTGATTTTTATTCATATCCATATTGTCATAACTTATATGTTTACATATATTTAGTAAATAAATTTTTATTAAATTTTTTATTTAAAAATATATTAATATATATTTATAAAAATTATACAAATATTCAAAATAAAATTAAAAAAATAAAAAATGCATTTTTATTGTTTTAAATTAGAATATGAAAATTATCTATATTTATTAAATATTTATGAAAATAGAATAAAAATAAATTTAAAATACCTTTTAAATATAAAGACAAAAATAAATATAATATAAAATCTAAAAATAAAAATAAAGAAGACCCTACTTATGTTATATCCTACCGGTTGATATTCTTAGTTGAAAGCATAGCCTCCCAAAAAGTTGTCGATGGGTTGAAATTTTCAGCAACAATGATACTTTCAATTGACATAGTTTACTTATCCAACATGTACCCATTTTTTAATTTATAATAAATCATTAATTAAATTTTATTTTTCTTTTTTTATGAAAATCTAGATTTTTAACTTTTAGTTGAGTTAACATCAAAGCATGAATTTAGAAAAAGAAAAGTTTTAGAAGACCGGAAAAATATTTAAAGCATATTAACGGATGAAGAAAACAGCTGCCGTTAGAACGTAAATTTGTGTTTGATGTGGACTGTTTTACAGGAGAGGAGCCGGATCCATGGTAAGTGGGCACGTGATTTTCAAATCAAACGACATATTTGTATATCTATTTCTGCGTTTCAAATCGACAGCGCCTATTCATAAATCAAGATCCAAAGATAATCTCAGATTCTTCTTGTCCTGTGAATTTTTAGATTTTAGATGTAAGCTTGGTCAATTCCCAAATCTCCTTGTGTTGAAGTTGGCCTTATTCAGGCAGGCAGAACTCAAAAGAAAATGCCCAATTCCGCTGAGGCGGTGCAGCCTGCGGCCTGACTAGCCTTCAAATATGATAAACAAAGAATCCAAGGCCAAATCATCTTATTTTAGGCTCCGGTAAAAAATAATTTTTATATTTTTAAGTATTTATTTTATAAAAAATTAATTGGTCAACAAAAAATGAATTTTTGAAAAATAAAGTCATTTTTCTAAAAATTATTTTTCAGATTTAAAAAAAAGGATATTTAAAAAAAAATTATTTATGAGTAAAACTATTTATTAATATTTTTTAACATAATTTTACTTATAAATAATATTATATTAATAAATAATATATTAATATATATTATTATAAATAAATATTATATTAATATCTTAATTTTAATAAATAATATTATATTATATTAATAAATAATAAAATATTAATAAATTATACACTATTAATATAATATTTTAATAAATAATATTTTAATATTTTAATAAATAATATAAAGAATAATAAATAGTTTTTTTACATTAACATAATATTTTAATATTAAATATTATTATTAAAATATAATTATTTTTTAATATTAATAAATTTAATAATTAATAATTACAATAGATTTTAATAATAAATAATTTTTAATATTTTAATAGTTATGTTAATATTATTTGAAAAAAAATAGATTTATTAAAAAATAACCAAACAATAAAAAATATTTTTATTAACTCATCCAAAAAATAAAAAATCCCTTTTAATTTAAAAAATACAAATATTTTTTAAAAATTATTTTTTAAAAATGATTTTCTGTAAAATAAAACGGAGTTTTAATTTCATCGATTCGTTTTCCCTTTAACCTCAATTTATAACTTTACTTCAATGGCCCATTTTGGCCTCAAATAGGAAGAAGAGGAAAATGTTTACGACTAAAGGACAATTAATAATAAAAAAAATTATTATATTTAATGATGAAAAAATTAATAGAATGACATGTATTTTTTAGAATATAATCAAAAATTAAAAAAAATACCAGATTGCCTTTTAATTTTATTTGTGAAATTAAAAATTTATAATAATAATATATCATATGTAAACTTTTAACAATAATACGTGCATTTGATTCGGTATGTATAACTTGTTTAAACATTGGGTTTGAATTCTTTTTTCTCAAATAAAAAATAATAATTAAAATATAAAATTTAACTTAATTAATTCATATAATTACTTTTAAGAGATAATATATTTTAAAATATAATATTAAATAAATTCGAATTCAATTTTATGTATTTACAATTTTTTTCTCTTATCCTCAAATTAAAACCTTTTTTATACAAAAAAAAGTAAGGGTAAAAAATTTTTTTAATTTAAAATTAATTGATATTTTTAAATTTGAGAAAAGAGATTTGCGTTTGTTCTTTAAGCAAAAAAAAAAAAAATGCATTAAATATTGAATTAAATTGTGTGAAATTAATCGACAATTTAGCAGGAAAACAACGAGCAAAAAGTATTAAGAAGACATGAGGAATTTAGGAAAATAAATGTTGGCATTTATGAGCTTGATTCGGAAATAGTATAAATGGGGACAAAATGCTGCATAAAGCTTCCTAAGAGTTCCAACGCAAGTAAAAATCGAAAGCTACAAACGTATTTGAAATATTTGGTCTTTGCCAATCGGTCCAATCATGCAATGCAAATCATCTTCCTTTTGGACTTCCATCTCTCAACTCTCTTCTTGCTCCAGGGACACAACTAACCCCTTCATCCAAACAAGAAATGTTAGCTTTACCATGTTTTGAGCAATTTTTCTAAAGAGTTGGTAACATGTTACATTAAAATTTACACATGTTATTTCTCAACATATTCTTTATTTAATTCTTTTTATATTATGTTATTTGATTTCTATTAATAATATTAATTTTTTTCTTAAAAACGAAAATATTGTTATTTTATATTAAAACTCAAAATTATAACATGTTTGAACGGTAGGAATGGATATTCTAAGTGTTGAATTATTGTCAATTTTTAATTTGTATTTTAAAAAAATTATCATAATTTAAAGATAAAAAATTATATATATATTTGAATTTAAATTCTAAATATAATGAATATATCTTTTAATAATCATTATACAAAATAAATTGAGTTAAAGTTTGATTTTTTTTAAAATTACGCATTTGGCAGCCATTAAAAGACTAAAAAAAAATTAAAGCATTTAAAGTGTTCTTAAACAAATAATTTGATCCATGTTACAAAAATAAATAGTTAATTAAAACAACATTTTAAGTTGTAATTTTTTTTTAGTTTAAGAACACTTTAAATGCTTTAATTTAAGATCAATGGCTTGCTTTCAACATAAAAAAAATAAAAGAAGATGAGAAAACCAATCGTTGAGCATAAAAGTTGGGTAATCAACGACAAAGACCAACCTCATTACTTGTTAAAGAGATAACAAAAAGAATATAAATACCAGAAAAGAAGTGAGGTTGAAACGTCGCCGTTGGAAAGTGAGGTGTAAATGCCATCCCTGTCAGCGTCCTTTAATCGGAGAGGCGGCTCCAACTTTACATTTCCTCCTCCAACCCTTCTCTCTTCTCCTCTTTTGTCCGTTCTCTCACGTATCCATTCCCAACTCAACACCTGCCTTTCTAAATCCTATCACTTAAAAAAAATCACCTCAAAAAATAAAAAATTAAAACACTGAAATATAAATAATTATTATTTTATTATAATCAAATAAATCTTCATAATTTATTTTTTTATTTAATTAAATTTTTAAAACTTTATTTTTATTAAATTAAATATTTAAATATTTATTTTTATTTAATTAATTATTTTAAAAAATAAATCTTGACGATTAATTAATTTTTATATAATAAAATTTTAATTAAATGAAAATAAATGTTTAAATTTTCAATTAATTATGATAAAATGATAAAAATTTAAATAATTATTTAATTTTATTTAAAAAATTATTTTATACTTGCACCAAAATAAAACTCATAAAATATATTTATCTATAAAAAGAAAATGGTACCTTTCCCAAAATATCCAAACTTTTAGTGACTATTTGCCCCCTTTGGATTAGAAAAAATGTGCCAACTGAGATTATGTTATCCAACGATTTAATAGCTCGTTGATAGGCTGATCAGTTGTCACTAATTAATTTTGGTCCAGTTGTTGATCGCCCAATAAGCTTTTTTTTTTATATATATATTTTTCTACTATATTTTATGATTATTTTGAAAATGTCCTTACATTATTTTTTATTTAAAAATTATAAAATAATTTTGTAATTTAATATAATCAATAAAATTTATTATTTAATATATTAATAAGTAATTTAAATAAAATTTATATAATAAGTAAAATTTTAAAATATTAAATAATTTAAAATTTTTATTATATATAATTTTAATCTAATATTTTTAATAATTATTTTTTTAATGCTACTGATATTTCCACTGTTGGTGTCAAGCGGAGCCGAAATGAATATGCCCAAATGGACCATTAAGCAATGGCCTTAACTTAAGGCTCCACTCCATAATCCACCCTCCATTTTGTTTTTTATTTTTATTATTCTCCTGGCAAGAAAAAGAAAGCAAAGCCATGTTGGAAGAATCAATGCCGACGGTACCTTCTTCCATCTGGGCTTCCATATGCAGTTGGTTTACTCCAACTGTTTTCTTTGTGTTCCTCAACCTCACAATCGGTACCATTTATTTTACTTCCACCTTGGCTTCTAACAAGTCTGGTGTTGGTGGTGGTGAAGGGCAAAGCCAGGAAGGAGAAGAAAACAACCCAAAACTTGTTAGATCTCCATCTGTTTTACAAAGGCTGAAATCTAACAACTTGTATTCTTGTAGATCCCAAGAACCTGTTACTGCCACTGCCTATGGGAAAGTCAAAGATGTGGGTGATTTCCATTTCTCCTTTCAACAACAAACCCCTGAACAAGATCGAAGGCAGCAACAGCCTTACCTCGATAGATCTTCTTCTGTTTTGCCAAGGCTTAAGTCTATTAACCTCTATAGTTACTTCTCTCCAAAGCAGACCACCTTGCACAAAAACCAAGAAATTTACTCCCATTACCCTCCATTGCGAGCCCGTGAGGAAGAGGATGAACAAGTACAAGAACCTGAAGAAGACGGAGAAGAAAACCACGGAGGCCTAGAGGGAACCCAAGGTCAAGAGCAAACCCTGGATGAAATATACAGTCAGTTCAAGGATAGTCATGTTACCAGGACCAAGTCCGACACCAAACCAGCGTCTGGCGAGGTACCAACTAAGCTTCCGAGGAAGATGAGGAAATCTGCGAGTGCTAAGTCCGCCTTTTTGCATTTTGAGGAAGATGACATAGTGGAAACTCGAAGGCCAGCTACCGTGAGGGGAGGGAAAGCTAAAGCTACGGAGGAGGATGACGAGGTGGATGCCAAAGCTGATGATTTTATCAACAAGTTCAAGCAGCAGTTGAAGTTACAAAGGAGTGATTCCATCCTTAGGTACAAGGAGAAGGTGAACAGAGGGAGTGGAAGGTAAAGCTAATTTCAAATTTTTCTTGGGGCAAACTTAGTTTTCAACCTTTTTTTTTTTAATGTCGGGGTTTAATTATTGGGATGTAATGTAATTGTAGATCTACTACTGGTATTGTTTACGTGTGTTGAACTTTCTGTTCAAAAATATTGCACCTTTCATTTAAATTCTGGTTTCCTACTGTTTTTTTTTTTTTCCTTCTCCTTTCAATGGCGTTTAGGTTATTTTGGCCATTCTCAAGGCTCATAACCAATAATGCCCATAGCACTCTGGTTCATGAATCCTGTTTGTTTCCATTGCCATTCCAAGCATTAGCTTTTAGCTGCGCTCCGGCCTCTGCCGAGCGCTGCTAACATACATGTAGGGGCATTTTAGTGATTTCAGTCAAGACTGTGAAACCTGTCTGTTCAACAAGCGGAGAAAAACTGGAAGGAGAAGGATTTGTTTTGCAGGAGAGAGCCAGTGTTACTAAAATGCCCACGTTTGCTTGGACTGAAAGAGACAGAAAGGGAATCAAGGGGATGGGGCGATTTGGTAAAAGGGGTTTTGTTAAATTTGTTTGCCCACAAAATGCTGATCCATATGTGGCAGGTGCTTGACCTGTGGTGCACGTGGAAGATTATGTTCGGGTGCTATGCAGTAACACCCAATTTAACGTGCATGCAAAGCATGGATTTTCATTTTTATGTAATGGAGAAGGAGGATTACCAAATGGTTTCGCCAAAACGACGCTTTCCTTAAGCCATTAAACACCAACCAGGTTGAATTTTGGGCATTCGGGATTTTTTTTGTGATCATTCTTTATGTTGATCGGATAGATTAAGGCTGCATTTGGATGAATTCAAATCTTCAATAGTCAATGAAGATTGTGTGGATCACTTGTTCGATGAGGTTAAGCTTTCTTTGACCACAGTGGAGCCTCTAACCGTAGGTGTCCGGTGGAAAATCAATCTCTCCACTGCAACATTTCTTTGCTATTATGCCCCTGCCATCTTCTTTTTGTTTTTTGCCTTCCAATGTATAGTGTAAAGACGAAAATACCCCTCATCACTTATTGCCTCTTATGCCGCCATTTTTTTCCTGCAATGTGTAGTGCAGGGACGAAAATACCCTTTATAATTTAGTTTTTATCTTTTTTTTATATTTTTATATTTTTATTTAAATTGTTTCACATAACATCATTATAATTATCTAATAAATTCTTTATATATTTTAATTAAATAAAATTTTAAAATTTTAAATATTACATAACTTTAATATGTAAATAATTTGTCATTACATATTTAGATTAATATCTTTAATAATACTTTTTCTACCATTTATAATTCATCTTGCTACTATCTTTATATTTATATTCAAACGTATCACATTACTGATTCTAATTTTATTATTACATTTATCAATTTCACATTTATCATTATATTTAATCTCATCAAAATTAATTTTACTTTAATTATATTAATTTTATTTCAATAATTATACTTAATCTCAATGAAATCGATCTCATTACTTGCCCCAAATAGATCATAATTTCCAAGTGACTTAGCTCTTTTTCATAGCACTACGATCATGTGTTTTACTTTGAATGGAAATGGGCCGTTATCATCCACGACTAGTGACTGTTTTAAGTCATCTTGAGAGATCTACCAAAATATACAATTTTGTATTCAACATTAATTGACCCATATTGGCCTTTCACAAAGTTTTGATTTCAGAGTATCCAACCCCATTACCTCCTCTTTTTCTTCATATGAATTGATTCAAAGAAAGCATCGAGTTGGTAGATCTTCTGGTGTAATGGCATGGAAAAATTAGAAGGTTGTTTGCTACTTTGGTCAGCCAAGCAATATTGTCACTTGATGACAATTTTAATGTGTTTGCTTGTAGGTTCAGAAAGGGCTGATTTTGGAGTAATATCACTGGAAAACTCACTATTCAGATTTGGTATGACAGAGGTCTAGCAATCATTATATAATAACAATAAAATAAGTAAAACGTTTTTTACCAAAAAAATAAAATAAGTAGAACTGGGAAAGTGTAAAGTTGTAGAACATGGCAAATTGGCAGTTCGACCCTTTCCCTTTCCCTTTTCTTTTTCTTGTATTAATTTAGGGTTCAATATACTTTTAAACTCTATACTATATATTTTTTATCAGCTTAATACTTTAAAAAATAAAATTATTTGTTTCGTATTTTAATTTTTATTTTGTTATTCATTTTAATATTTTAGATTAATATCGTTAATCAATTTGATGATTTGATTTAAATATCAATAAATTACAAAAATATGTCAAAAAAATCCAATCAATGTCATATTATTAACTACCACATAAGCATTAAAACAAAATTTCAAAAAAATTTAAAATTTTTTTAAAAAACTCTAAATTATTTTTAAAAATTAAAAAAAAATTTAAGAAAAAATAGAAGAATTTTTTAATATTTTTAAAAATTTTAAGAAATTTAAAAAAGTATGAAAAATTCAAAATCTAAAAATTAATAAAAATCCAAAAAAATCTGAAAAATTCAAAAAAATGTAAATTTAATAAAAGAAGTTTCTTAAAATTCTAAAAAAGTGTTAAAAATTTTATGAAAATGTGAAGTATTTTAAAAATAATTATAAAAATTAAAAAATTCTGAAAATAAAATTAAAAAATCTAAAAAATTTATTTACTAAAAAATAAAAATAATTGAATAAATTGTGATAAATTAAAAAAATAAAAATTTTATTTTTTAATTTTTTGTAAATTTTTAATATCTTATAATTTTTTTAAAATGTTTCAAAATTTTTTAATTTTTTAATATTTCAAAATTTAAAAAATTTAGAATTTTTTTTTAAATTTGTAAATTTGTAAATCTTTTGGAGTTTTTTATTTTTAAGAAAATTTTATTTTTATTACAATTTTTATTTTTTATACTTTTTTCTGATTTTTTAAGACTTTTTAAATTTTCTTGGATTTTGTATTAAATTTAAAAGCTTTTTTTCTTAAAAAAATTTTAAAATTTTTTTTATTAAAATGTTTGGATATTTTATATTTTATATTTTAATTTTTCAAAAAGTTTTTATTTTTTATAATTTTGATTAAAATTATTTCATATATTTTAAAATTTTGTAATTTTTAGAATTTTTGAAAAAATTTTAAAACAGATGTTTTTACAATTTTTTTATTTTTTAAGTTTTAAAATTTTTTTGAATTTAAGAAAATTTTATTTTTATTAAAATTTTAGTTTGTTATTCAAAGATAAGTATTAGATGCAGTATGTGTGCAAATACAAATAAGCTCATTTCTTAAAAAGTTTTTACTCATATCTGGATGGTTCAATATTTATTTTTGTGTTCATCGCATATCTCTCAAATATATATATATATATATAGATATATATTTTAAGAAAAATGAAGAATTCAATTAATTAATATAGTTCATTTGAAATTTTATTGAACTAAAAGAAAGTAAAAAGATCATAAAAATATGAGAAAATAAATGCAGGCAGCTAAAAAAGCAATACATCTTTTTATACTTAATTAAAAACTTAAAATTTTATTGAGAAAATTAAAAAGTTAATTTATTTTTTAAAAAATTTATAGGAATAGGACATAATATTTCTATTTTTTTAAGAGTTTTTGAATAATAATTGAGGGTATAATAAATAGACAAAATTAATAAATGTATTTTAATTTTTCTAAATCATTATATCTAAAATTAGGATAAAGATGAAATAATAAAAATAATAAATAATAATTTTAACGTGTGAGCTAATTAAATCACGAGCCCCTCAGTTCTTACCCCTAAACTTTAAATTTTTAGAGTCTAATCTTTAGATTATATTTGAGAATTTTATATTTGTTAGCATATAAAATATTAAAATTTATATATTTATATAAAAATTATATATTATAATTCATATAAAAATATAAAATATAATTTTTTTATTAAATTTATATATAATTATTATTAAAATTTTAAGTCATATTATTTTTATATTATATCTATATTATCATTATATTATATTTTAAATTATCAAATTGATTTAATATTTAGCCCCGGTGCTTTTTTTCTTTAACCTCTTACGCTCTTATAGCATGGTGTTTTTTAGCTGCTCATTAGACTGCCCCTGGCTTTAAAGGGTTTCAAAATTTTGGGGTGCTGAGGCCCCAGGCTCCAACGATGGCCCGCCTTTGAAGACTTGAAGCCATGCCTTTCTCATTTCAACAGCCAACTTATAGAAGGTTACCGTAAACCGCTAGAAATTTCCTTACTGGTTTGCCAGTCTGCCTGAAGAATCAGATTGGGCCATCATTTATATATATCAATAAAGAAAGTGAACGGGGTTTATTTGGATCGTATTTTCAAGTCATTGCGCACCTGAAAACGGTCTTAAAGCAAAGGGCAAAAAACCAATGTAGGGGGTAACAGCAAAAGAAACATCATCAAATCGAATGTCAACAAATGCAAAATGGAACATAAAACGACACTTGATTCCCCAACAAGAGAGCAGACAGCGAAAAACTAGACATAACAAAGTGAAAACAGAGGAAAGGGAGGGAAAAGTTAACAGCTTTCTTTTACAAAGTAAAAAGAGGAAAGGATGGCTTGGATGGTGAATCAACAGGTAACAAGAGGAAGAAGAAGTCTAATATGGGGGGTTGCGTTGCTTTGTTGGCTTTTCATCATGTTCGTTACTCCTAAGATCCCACTTTCTTATCGGAACCATCTCTACGCTGACATGTGCAATTTTCTCGGTATCCCGTCTTTTAAACCTCTTATCTCTCTCTTATGATACACCATTTCGTCAAGCGCATAATCCGTGACTTTGCACTATCTGGGTGTTATTTGTTTGGTCTATAGGAGTTCCTAATACGTTGAATGTGATCACCGAATTCCCTTTTTTGATTGTGGGTGTTATGGGTTTTGTTCTTTGCATTGGAGGAGGAAGCTTTTTCAACGTAAGGTTTTTTTCCTTTTCTATTGATGTCTTTGAAGTTGAAAAGGCAAATTTTTGTGATCATTTGGTGAATAACTGATGCTTTTGGACACTGGGTTGATTGCCGATTGCGGGGAGAGGTGTGGGGCTGGGTGCTTTTCTATGGAGGGATGGCAAGTGTGGCTTTTGGTTGGACAATAGAGGGATCTTAGGCCTGATGACAATAGAGTAATGTTGGATACCTTGCCGGCTAGCATTGCAAGTTTACTTATTTATTTTTTCTTACTTTCTGTTTTGGATTGTTATTTCTATGCTTTTCCTAAGATTGAATTTTTGTGGAAATGATGTTGGAGGTAACAACATTTTCTCAGTGGTGACAGTTAACAGTTTTATTAGAAGTAGAAGCTATGGACTTAACTCAACTTGTGCCTAATTTGACATTTTGTTTCATTCTTCACTTCTTTCATTGCCAATAGCCAAATAATTGAAATTTCAGTGCTTTGTTTCTATTTCCATGTTTTTATTGTTTCTTTAAGAAAAAGAATCCGAAACTGCAGATGACTTTTCATTCAATTTGTCAATAACCAAACGTCATTTGAAATTTTACTACCATATTGCCGTTGAATGTATATCAATATTAAATATATATTGTACTTTTAATTAATTTAATTCACAAATTGCAGATGATGACTGCATATTCCTCACTTTTTCTAGTTTTATACTTGAAAGACTCAGAGAGAGGATTCGATTAAGTTGCGTGTTTTCACTGTTACTTCTTGCTGTTCTAAGTGCAAGTTATGCAAGGTTTGGTTCTTGCTCAGAATTTTCTATTTATCTGTTTTTTTAATTGATTGAAGCTTCTCATTCAAATTTCAATGTGTTTTGGCTGAATGTGACTTGCTAGTTGTTTGAAGAACATTTAATGATCTTCGGCTGTGCATGACATTCTAGTTAATTCCATGCATGGCTATTCCGATCACGACATTTTTTGTTCCCACCTAAATATACGCACTCAAGATAATGGCTTTGGATAGCAGGTATGTCATATGCCATCCTCTTTCTCTATCGTTCTGTTTTATTTATTTAAGAAAAATCACATTCAATTTCCTATTTATGGTTTTGTGCCTTTGTCTGAGATGGTCCTGTAGTATGTTGGCAACTATGCACATCAAATGGAAGGGGTAACAATGTAAAAATCTGAATATCAGCAATTCATATATTTTTATTTCCTACTCAAGAGTGTTGTTTTACTTAAAAAATTTGAAAGCCATCTGGTATAGGGGTTTGCATCATAGCCAAAATGGAAGCTCTTGGTGAGATGAAAATACACCATGCAAATAATTATATTATCATTGGACGCTCCTTGGAACACCTGTGTTCAGCAATTGCCCCTGTTCTGGTTACAGTTATGCTTATGCAGGTATTAAAATTTTAAGGTTTGGGATAGAAATTATTAGGAGGCAATTTAATATTTCATGTAAATGAGGTAGTCCCAGAATCCAAATGTAATGACAGAAATGCATGTTTCTAAAGACATTTGGAAGTGTTATAATATTTGAGTGTCTGCAAGGGTGCTCAATGTGCTTCATTTTGGTTCCCCATACTCCTTGGCTTCGGGTATACTATCCATTTTTGTGTTCAAATGATTAGGGTAGACGGTTTGCTTCTTCCCCCATTATGCAGTTAGAACATCCTTTTTTTTAACTGCTATGTGAGGATCAAGTTCAAGATGCGCTCTTAAATGTTTGGTCTTTGTGTAAATTACATTGGCTGGCTGATGACTTGCAGGAAAAAAAGTTCTCTTTTTTCTTACTTGTTAATGGAACTCCTGACAGATTAGGTGAAAACAAAGAATGTCCCTCACTAAGAATCCGAAGTGGATGAAGGTGACAAGTAATCTTTATGTGAAGAATCATCGAAGGTGATAAGTGATCCATGATCCGATAACCATTTAGCTGTTACTGGACACATCTTGCCCGAAGAAGAACTTGACAAGATTTCTTCTCCCATGCTTTCCGCATTGCTCTGGATCCGCAAAGAATGAAGGCGAGTAGAATCTCTCAGCCATCATACCATCTAAATTTGCACATATGGATTTGTTGTCTTTTGACTGAGCTATCACACCTTGTGATGTTGCCATACCATGCCATTTTCCGGGTGTAAAAGCTTGGCCATAGTGTCAGCACATATTGCTAGCATTGTGTCTCCTTTTTATTATTTTTTTTTTCACTTTTTTCACCGAGTGTTGCACGCACCTCGTGACTGCTGGACCTCCGTAACAGCTTTTGGAGCTATTCTAGGAACTTACTAAAGGTGTGAATGCCCTTCATGTAGCGGTTGTCAACATGAGATACGCACTGTGAATCATAATCTTTTATGTTCTAATTTGAGAACTCTTGTTACTTTTTTCCTAAAGTCATATGCTGAAAATGGATGCTGTAACTATTGATCAAAGTTTTCTTTCATAGAAAGAGAATGTTCCCATTTTCATCCTTCTTTCACCGGTTTCTATTGGGAATGAGGTTGTTGGATGACTGGTTTTTGAAAGCAGATTCACTTGAGTAATCACCAGTATGTTCATGAGGCTTTTAAGGTGGAGGATATCTCCAAAGTCAACCTCGTTGTGATCTCCTTACGATTAATTTCGTCAAAAATAAACGATCATGACAATGGGAAACCGACATAAAAAATTTTGTGCCACATGCATAACATGTGTTTTGGTGGCAAACATGCTTATGCTTTCACATGCAAACTGTTCTTTAGACAAATGTATCACGCGGTTATGCCCGTATACCCCGGTTACATATATTCACATGCATATGCTGATGCAAGTGCATAAGAGGCACATTAGCATGACTAAATTCTAGTTCCTAAAGGATATAAGATTTGAGCTTTGAATCTTTGACCATAATTTTTTTGGGGGGTTGGGGTCAAAATACACTTACATTGAATTTCTTTTCGCCGCAGCTGAAGAATGTATCAGCATGGCAAGTATATGTAGACATTGAGCCTTCTTACAGAATTAGCGTTGTACCCTGGTACCCCGATTTACCATGTACAAGTAACAAGTGCTTGCTCTCGTCTCTTTGCAAAGACTCAGGTTCCCCTTCATGCATATATAGATCATTTCCACTTCTATGTTTTAGCTAGAAAAATTCACTATAACAATGTATCTTTATCATTTCCAAGTATAAAAATAAGCAGCAAAGTGGGAAGGCTAACTAGGATAATTTTCCATGTCGATCAAGTTTTGGTGCTTTGGGGAAGTAATTTTGAAACCAACTTCCTATGATTACAAAGAAACAGTGTCGTATCTCAACTGCAAATGCATGCTTAGCCCCAATTATTTTAGTTGAAATTAAGTTAGAAATTCAACAATATCTATTAAAATAAAATATAGCACGTAGCAAATTTAAGATTTATTTAAAAAGAGAGGAATTTTTATTGTGCCATAATATTATTTTATAACTGAATTTTTAAAAATTTAATTATAAAACACAATTATAATAAGATAAAACTTTCTCTCATTACAACAGCAAATGAATCTTTAGTAATTTGGTGCGAGAAAGCATAAAGTTAAGCAATGAAAGATCAGTTCGATCTTCCTATTGGCTTATTCTCCATGTCCTTACCTATAAAAACATAAATTACTCATGGGAAGCTGTAAAATCAAACTTGTAGCTAAAATGCCCTTGTCAAGGAAAGTACAAATTTCATAATTCCATCATTGCAACAATTTTATAATCAATTCCTTATTATTCTCAAATTTATAAAAAAAAAAAAAATCAAAGCCCTAGTGATTATATAGTATCATATATATATATATATCATTATTGTGGCTGCTCCGATTTTACTTTTATAATTTAATCATTCAATAAATTATAAAGATCCTCCAATTTTGAAACCAGCATTGGTAATTAATGAAGTAATTATGGAGTTGGGTTTTAAGTTAATGCAACTAGATGATTTGGATGATTTAACTACTAATTAAGTTTTTTTTTTTATACCTGTGCTTGATGTTTAAAATTTGATTTTAACTAAATTAATTGAGTAAATAAATTTAATTTAATTTATTAATAAAATTTTAAAAAAAATTAATTGAAATTCAAAAATATTTTGAAAATTTTTAATTAATTTTATTTAAAATTTGAATTAATCAAATGCATAATCAAAACGTATTTATAATAAAATGTATCATTTCAATTCGTAGACACAAAATTCAATTAAGTGAAATATTTTATTTTTGTGTAACATAATTTTATTGTTTGATTAATAGAAATATTAATCCAATTATTTTTTTAAATTAATAAAATGGATTTAATTAATATAAATAAAATAATTTAATTTAATTTAAAATTAACCAACCCAACTAAACAAACGCTCATCAACAACCTTGCATTTGTAACATTACCTACAACGACCCAGGACAGGACAGACGAGTCGGTGGCCTTCCCAATTTCCCCGTTTGCTTTGAGATTTGGACAGGACAGCCATCTGGTCTAAAATTCAATGGCCCCCCCCGACAATCTTTCTACTGTATTAATTCCAGTGTATTTCCTTTTCTACTACAAGTATTACTTTTTACTTGGATAAAAAAATTGTTTACCGTTTATCTTTTCAAATTAATCCAAAAAGTTTTCTTGTCCAGCTATGATTCTTGCCTTAACAGACAAGATTAACAACACAAATCAATATGTTTTTTTTCATATAAACTGTCCAACTTTTGTATGAATGTAAACCCAGATTTGAGTGGTCCACCCAACATTCCATTATTCCTCATTTCAGTGATACTAAAAGAACTTTTATGGTTAGTTCAATAGTTATTTCCTCATAATTGAGGTGTAAATTCACTTTGCATAAAAATGTCCGGAGACAGCTAGGGCAAATTGATTAACCATCATATCAAACTCCTCGAAACCGTCTGATCTAAAATCTCCAACCAAAGAGGAAATGTGGACCCCATTTTTCTGATAATTTACTCCATCATCATATCTCAAAAGCCAAGTGATGTTAGAAAAACTAAAGATCACCAACGTGTGAGATATTCCTTTGGATTTTCAGACAATTGAAGTTTGAAAATATAAATTTTTACAGTCATAAAAAAAAAATCCAAATAAGGTGAGGTGGCACCATCCCCTTTGGGTGGAGAGTACCTCTCCCTCCTCTTCAATTCCTCTCCTCAAATTCCCTCTGTCTTTTACAAATCTCACCATTCACTCCTCCATTTCCTTTCCAAAATCACTCCAACATTCTGTTTTTTTTTTTCTTTTCTTTTTTCACAATGTCAGATAGAGTCTTTCCCTCCTCCAAGCCCAACGCCACTGCTGCTCCACCTGCCGCCAACGGTGGCACTGGTGGAGCCGCTGCGACTACAACCGCTACAACTAACGGTGGCACCACAAAGTCCCACCTTTATAACCCCACTTCTCGTCCACCATACCGTCCACAACCCCATCACCGTCGTCACCACCACCGTCCACAGCGGAACTACTGTTGCTGCTGTTGTTTCTGGACCATCCTCACAATTCTCATCGTTGCCCTTTTGGTAGCCATAACTGGCACCGTCCTTTACGTCCTTTATCGGCCTCACCGCCCTTCTTTTACCCTTGCTTCCCTCCGTATCCACCGCTTAAACCTAACAACCACCGCGGACTCCTCCTCCCATCTCTCAACTCTTTTCAACTTAACCCTTTCTTCCAAAAACCCAAACTCCCATCTTTCCTTCTCTTACGACCCTTTTGTTGTTTCATGCGTATCCAGCAACAGCAATGTTTTTATAGGCAACGGAACATTGCCAGCTTTCGTCAGTAACAGCAAAAATGAGACAACTTTCAGGGGAGTTGTGGTAACGACATCAGTTGATCTAGATGTGGAGACAGTCAACAACTTAAGACCGGATCTGAAGAAGAAAAATGGTATCTTGTTAAAAGTTCAGATGGATACTAGAGTGACAGTGAAGACGGGTGGATTGAAGAGCAAGAAAGTCGGGATTAGGGTTACGTGTGATGGGATTAAAGGGGTTTTACCAAAAGGCAAGTCACCGTCTGTGGCTAATGTTTCTGGGACGAAGTGTAAGGTTGATCTCCGGATCAAGATCTGGAAATGGACTTTCTGAGAACGGGCTCTTTCTTAAATCCCAATTGTTCAATTTACTTGTTTTTTTTTCCTTCATTTTTTCGATGCTTTTGATTTTTTAAAAAAACTTTTGGGGTTTTCTGAAGAAATGGCCAAAAGAATGTCATGAAACAAATCAAGAATCAGTTATGGGATGAGAAATTGAGGGAAAAAAAATTGATGGATTTATAGTTAGTAGATTTAGGAAGAAGAGGCTGAACTCATGAAGAACAAGATGTTGAAATTAGTATTTTTTTTTTCTTTTTTTTCTTCTTAGACAACTTTTATATGGTACTGGTATTGTAAGTGATGTTGGATTTTCATTTTTATTTCATGAATGCAATGGTATAATAGCTTGAGAGAATTAATATCAATTACATATGAAATTTAAGTTCCAACGTTATTGTAATTTTAGTCTAGTCATCTTGTTCCGATTACCGCTTTTAGTTTTGCCCTGTTTTTTAATCATCACGATAATTAGGGGTGTAAAAAAAATTAATATGTTTGTGATTTATACTACTAATTAATATTATTTTTTTATAAATTTTAATAAATAAACATAAATAAATATTAAATGAAACTTCAGTTTATTCACAAAATATTCGGGGAAATGTGGAATATTATTTTCGTTTGTATTATCGGATATAAATAAATTAATTACTATATTCATTAAAAAAATATTATTTTATTAAATTCAATAAGTAAACATAAATGGTTTGTTAAACGTTACAACATTATAATTTACAGCAGGTTGATAATTAAGTAGCACACCCTCCGAAACGCCACCGCCATCTAATTAAGCAAACGACGAACTCTTCGTGTTAAAAACTAAAAGAAGAAGAAGTTTTAAATTAATGCTTTTTGGCTCTCATAGGAGAGGAGGAACACAGTAAAGTGTGAATCGGCATCGAGGGTAACCGAAACTGATAAACGGATATTACTCCTGCTTTTTTGAAGTAAAATAATGTGCTTGGCTTTGCGTTGCGAGCAGTGCAATCATATTACCAAGGTTAAATTCGATGACCTTTTTGATGATTTTAGAATGTGCCCAAATCCAGCTCCAGGGAAAACCCCAATGCCTAAAAGTGCTCAAGTCATTGGTTTTCTCTTGCTTTCCGTGAATCTTAATTCAAGTACAGTTCCATGCAGAAAAAGTTCGAAGTACCGGAACAACATCATGGGGCTGCAATCGCTTGTGTTGTGTTCCCAGAGTTTTAGTGTGAACATTGTCGGTAGAATTTAACCATGAGAGAAATGCTAGGGGCAGTCATTTTTACCGTCACTAATATTCGAACAGCTATAACTCACCGTCATTTAAATTTTAAGTTTGAAAATCTGTCACAAATTGTTCCGATAGCATTTCATCTTCTTTTTTCATTGAAAGAGTGAAAGTTGATTTGCTTTTTATATTTTTTCTATGGAAACTGATTAGTTCAAAGCCTAGTTTTGCTTCTTTATCTAAAACATTTTTTACAAACACTTAATTACCCTTATTATCTCTTTTCTTTATAATATTCTTTTTAAATTTTGTCTCAATTTCCAAATAAAAGAATCATCTCAATTTTTTCTATAAATTTAAAAATAAATTCTATCTCCATTTTTTTTTATAAATCTAAACAATATGAAACATTACTGTTTCATGAAATATAAATTTAAGGAGATATATATATATATATATATTGTATCAGAATTCAGAAAAATAAATCAAATTTATTGTATCTATAAATTTTCTATTTTTTTGCTTAACTAGACAAAATGTTTTCTAAAGTGGTAAGTAAAGATATCAATTTTATTTGCATTAAAACAAGATATCAATTTTATTTATTTAAAAAAGAACTATCTTTTTCCTCCACAAAACCAACATAAAGAGGAAAAAAATAAGGGAATTAAAAAAAAAAAAAGTTAAATGAGAACGCAACAGAAGAAAAATAGGAGAATTAAAAAAAAATCCATGTATTATTGGCTTGTTTAGGCTCCAAAACACAAACAGATTGAATAAGAGCATGATTAGGCTGCAAAAACATATAGAGCTTGAATAGTGACAACTAATATGTCAATGAGTGATTTGAAGAGTGAATCTTGAAGGAAAATCAGCAGAACTCTATTAATGACGGATTGGAATTCTTGTTTCAAATCCCAATGTATAGTAAAGTTAAGAAGAATAAGAGATAAAAAGGTAAAAGTACTCTGGTAAAAGCAAAAAATCTAAAATAATAAAATCACTTGTTATAAGCACCTGCCTGTCTACAAATTAAAGCACTGGATGAGGTGATTCTTTAGAGAGTCGAGTGTTCAAAAGTGATTGTTATGGGCGACTGGCCCTAGCATTCCTCTAACCATGATTTCTGCCATGGCAAATGAAGCTGTTAAGCATCCATCAATATTTGATGGTTTGATTTCAACTTCAAGCCATAGAATTGCTCAATGATTAGAGCCAAAGGTTCTGCAGACAACAAATTATTCAGAGGAAAGCCTAAAACCACTGTCTTATGAGTTATGAATATCACTAAGAGTTTTTTTTTCCTTTTTTTTTTTTAATATAAAAGGGGGATGAGACCTGTCAATCTTACAAACTACTAGTATGATTTTGTAATTAATAATTAATATTTTCAAGTGCATCCCATGATGGCGAAAGGAAGTAAATTCGTGAGCACGTGGTTTCTGTGGGTTATCGGTCCGCTTACACTGGGGCAGATGGAATTTCATCAAAAGGTGTTCAAATCCCACCGAAGTTGACTGCAAGTATGGATTTGGACCATTTGTTTGGTAAGGTTTGTTTTTTTTTTTCCAAGCATAATGGCCCAGGAGCCTACAGTAACCATAAGCATTACATATGCAACAAAACAAAAAGTTCATCAGGTACATGAAAGACCAGTCTGCAGGGCAGTTTCTCTGTCTTGTTTTCCTAGCAACCTAGTCAGCAATACAATTGGCTTCTCGTCTCACATGGCTGAATGAAACGAAACTGCAAACACCCTGTCATTGACAAAATGTATTCTTCAATGGCCAAAGTTTCCCAGTGCCGAGTCATTCTGGCAGAATTTAACCTCTGAATAATCTCTGCATTGTCAGATTCAAAGATAACCTTGCTCCATCCCCTTCTAATAGCAAAAGCACAACCAAACCTCAATGCAAAGGCCTCTGACACCAGTGCAGATCCTGCCTGAACAAGGGCATTAGTTCCACCAATAAGACACCCATTCTCATCCCTAGCAATCACTGCGATTCCTGCTTTTTTGGAATCATTGTCTAAAGAGGCATCACAATTGATCTTAACCACAGACAGAGGTGGTCTTTGCCAAACAACATTGCTCCTACTGCTATTAGGTGGCTGGGTAGAATGATTCGGCCCTTCAAATTCAGAGAAGTCCTTACAAGCGGACGTCTTTGGTAAGTTCAAGAGGAGGTTTTAGATCAATAAATTTTCCTAGTTGACTTGTTCCCGAGTTTTACATTACTGATATCTATTCAGAAAAGTTTGTCAAGAACAAAACTGAAGAGTTTATTGATTTGAGGCGGAAACACGAGATTCTTGCACCCTGTTACATGGCTAAACACTAAAAAAAGCCATTGCCCATGGGACATGACAAACAGAGGACAGTGATCGTGTCAACTGACAATCTAGGCCTTACTTCTGGACCTTCTTACGTTTTGGACTGGATTAATCCGCTCAAAATGGTTTGAGGTGGGCCTAACCGTTGGAACTAATATCTGCCACGAAAATGTCAGCTTGGGCTGTAGAGGTTCGCTCAATCATGCTATCACTAGAGGTGTAATCGACCAAATTTGAATCAATATAGTATTAAGTTTGAGTTCAAACTTGATTCAAAATTTTAAGTTCAAAACTCTATTCGAATTCGATCGAATTTTATTTTTTTAGTTTGAGCTCGACTTGATATAAAAATTAAATTACTCGAGCTTGCTCAATTAGGTTCGATAACATGTAAAAATAAGCTCAATTATTTATGTTCGAGCTCGAATTTAAAATATTTTATTAATTAAAATAATAAAAATATAAAAACTATATTAAGTTCATGAGCTACTCGAGCTAGATATAAAACCACTCAAATTCGATTTGATCAATGAGTCAAACTATTCGAGCTTGAACTCGTTTCGATAATAATCGAATCGAATTTAAATTTTATTCGAATCGAATCTAAATAATTTATAATTAGTAATATATCATTTACATCCCTAACTGTCACTAACTAAATTTTTTTTTATTAAGCAATAATCCTTACGATTTTTTAACGGATTTTTTGCACATAAATCAATTAACATAACTCAAAATCTGAACAAATAAAAAGTAAATAACGAGTTAATATAAAAAGATACGTAAAATTATATCTACGATAATGAGTGGATACCAGCTTGATAATTGATACTAAAAAAAAGGTTTTATTAATATAATAAGATTATAGTGATTATAAAAAAATTTAAAATTTTCACCATAATTGGATTTAAAATGATGATTTTAGATAAATAATTTAACACGTACCTTAATTAACGAAACAATCCAACAATTTATCAATTGTCCACCTCTTAAAATTCTAAAAAGCCTTTACTATTATGTTACTAAAAACCATTACATTATTACAAATGAGATTTTTTTTAACTACGTAAAATCTATGCCTTTACATTTTTATCGGTCATTGTCCCAAATAAAGATGGCTTTGGACATCCTATGTCTTATTTCCGCCCTGTACAAGATTCGACCATAACACATGGCCTGGCGGCTTGTACCACTAAAATTTGTCTGTCCATGATCTGGCTATCTAGAGTTGGCTCATAGCCAGCTACCATCGCACCAAGTCACGAAGAAATCAAGCACAGAAACTTTTGTGTATTTTCTGTTGACACTTGACAGAAGTTGCAGAGAAGTCGACCGCAAAGCTTCTGTACCTCGGTCATGCATTTTACTCGTGTATTTCTATCGAGTTCAGATTCAATTTCCTTTTTATTCTCTATTCTAAATTGAGATTATTCTTGTTATTATTCGATATAAATTATTGATTGATATGTGAGTTTTTTTTTTTTTTTTTTACTTTAAACTATAAAAATTCAAACTATAATGATTGATATTCAAATTTTAAATATTTTACTAATAAATTAGGAAGTTTTAAATGCATTCATCATATCTTTCAAACAATTTTAATTTTGCATTAATTCAATTAAAGTTGTTAATACCGAATAACATTTCGATTTTTTTTATATGTGATATATGCTAGTACTAAGTTTTTTGACATATTATTTTAAAAATTTTAGTTTAATATAAATATATTTATAAATATATATCAATTTGTACATTATAATACTATTAATAATCTACAAAATAAATATGTAATATTTTTAAAAATCAAATAAATAAATTTAAAAGCATAAAAAATAATATCATAAATTTTTATAAGATTTTTAAAAATTTAATCTGATTATATAATTTTTAAATAAATATTTTTCATATATAAATATTAAGATAAAAATAAAGAGATGAAAAATTAATTTCGACTTCATAATTATTAAATTTTAGAAAGAGAGCAATTGCTTTTTTAAAAGAGATTAAAATACTTATGAATTTTTATTTGAATAAATAAAGTATAAAAGAAAATAAGTTATAATACAAAATAAAGAAACTTAACTTTCAAAGATTATTTTATTAATTAATTTTATTTTTATTAAGTTAAAAATAGTTAAATAACAAAAATCAAGTTAAAAATTATAAAATCTATTCACATTCACATACCGATCGGAACAAACAAATCCACTTAAATTCACCGAAACTAACAAAAATAATTGATATTATCTGAAATTAAATTCGATACAAAAAATTAATTTTAAGTGTCATATTTTGATATAACTAAAATATATTAGTCAGTACAATATCAAAATAAAATTAACAACTATAAATTCAATAACTAAGTTACAAATAATTGAAAATTTTTGAGCATTTATATAAGTTTTAGGGTGAATTTCTAGCAAAATCATATTTTATTTATTTATTTATTTATTTTATCATCGATGGAACCATTACTTTTAATTAGGCCATAGATGTATTCATTTTAGTGTTTTTTATCAGTGAATTGGACTGATACGGACCAATTAGGTCCAATTATCATGTGAGTCCTTACATTTCCAAGTATGGGAGGGAATAGCTAAAACATGCCCAAACTCAAAAATTACAATTTTAAGTTTTGGTTGCAGCTGTTTCGAGAATCAAACCAAACATTTGGAGTAAATGGGAATAGCTTGAGAGATCCCCATTTGTTGTTTATTGAACTGGCCAATCAATGGTCCCAACCAAGTCCCAACATTCTTCCTCCTATCCAATGTAAACCACATCTCACAGATGTGAGATGCCTGTTTAAGGGTGGAGGGTTGGGTTTGGGTCTTCTCTCAACCACTAATCACTCGTGCAATACTCTTTTTTATAGGTTCCTCCCCAGGCTTCAGAGCTCCCATGTGGCAACTAAATTATGGCTCATTGCATGTTGATCAGGAGCCAGATTAGCAACTAAGAGGAGAGGTCCTCATTTTAAGCTGGCAATGGCGATGCTCGTTTCGAGGCCCAATTTCCCAAAACAAATTGTCTGTTTATTGATGGAAAATGCAAATCAGAACTTGTCAAGAGGGGAAATTAGGTTGAATCATACAACAATTCACAGCCATTGAGAGGAAAATATCTTTGTTGCACTACAAATTTAGAAGGCATTTTAGCGTTAATCTGATGGGAGATAAGGATCTGGAATCTGCTTGTTGAAACTTGAAACTAGAATCAACGGCATTATGAAGAGAAATTTATCAGGAAATCCGATCAGAGAAGAGCCTGGAAAAGGACTGCACACCTTCAAATTTCAAATTGACTTAAAAACCATCAAATGCTACATCCATAAAAAATCTCAAACAACCATAGAGAAAGGACCATAGCGTCATAAAAGTATACCATCAAGAGAAACCACTAAATTAAATGCAATATTTTACATCCAAATAATGCCCTGGCTGCACTCTTGAGCATGGAGGAAATTTTCGTCAGCCTACAGGAATCAGTACGCAACTTTTAAGACCTAATCATAAAAACATAAGCTGATACACAAACATGCAGCTCAACTATAAATACTTGAAGCCTCCAAGCAAAGACAATGGTGATTATTCTTCCACTGAAACCAATTATAACCACCCTCAGATATCAATCGATTCATGGCAAAAAACTCCAGCAACGAAACTTAGAGAGCTTCAAATTTTCCATATCACCCATGAGCGTTAACTGCTTCCCAGACCAAGTTCTTAGTAACTGGGTTGGTGAGATTCTTAGCCTGCAAGGCTGCTGATCGAAGAGTCCCAATTGTCATTGCATTTGCCCTCCAAAATGATGCACTATTGTATTGTAAATTGTGTTTCTTGCATAGCTCCTTAACAAATGGAGAAATTTTCCTGAGATGACACCGGGGCAACCTTGGAAACAAATGGTGCTCAATCTGGAACTGCAAACCACCATGAAACCAGTCCATCCAAGATGAGCACAATATATTAAGTGTTCCATCAGTTTGCTTCTCAAACCAATCGTTTCCACTAGGCGGTCCAACATAGACACTCGATGAAAAATGATTTAAACAGAACTGAATATGTTGAATTCCAGTTACAGAAAAACTGGCAACCACAAACATCACTCTCTCACTCCAATTAGGCAAGCAAGAAACAAGTAGCGGATACCAAGTCCAGAAAACAAGAAGTCCCAAAATCTCCTGACCCCTACTTGGTACCTTCCTCTTAGATAACAACAATTGGAAAGATTGTGCAAATAGATTAATCCTAGCAAAACACATTACAGGATAAAATGTCCAATGCTGGTAACTTACCAAGAACCTAGCAACAGAATCAAAATTCATCTTCCTTTCATAGAAATAAGATGCAAGCGAGTGAAAAAACTTTGAAGATACCGCAAATAATGGCATGTGTTGAAGATCTGGATCGAAATCTAGACTGTTACAAGCAATGTGATGAGCATTGTGGTTCCATTTCCACCAACCAATACTGATCCCTGCAAGGCAATTCCCAGCGAGGACCTGAGTAAATCTACTGAATTTTCTGCTAGACATAACCTGGTAATGCCCAGAATCATGTCCAATCCATCCACTCTGTATCCACAAGAACCCCATTAACCCACCAGAACAGAGATGCACCCAAGCACTGTTACAGCATAAAACACCATAGACACTGATACAAAACAACAATGCTATGAAGCAAAGTGAAATGCATGTCCCGTGTCCTTTCTTTTCAAAAAGATCCATCTTGGAAAACTCAGCAACAAGTTTTCTGTAATCTTTGGATACCTCCGAGACAGAGTAATCTTTGAGATAGTACCTGGTAAAGAACTTGTCAAGATATTGCGAAGCTAAGCCTGGATGATAGGCTACAAACGCATCAGTGGCATCTTGGCCAGCCAGATTCAGCAATGGAAGTGCCCCTCCAGGGTGGTCGTGACTCCATTCCGTGACATCATAGATCTTGCCATGTATAGAGATCCACAGATCTCCCGGTTTTTTGTGGTTTTCAAGCTCTGCTTGGGAAATGTACCTCCTTGACTCCGCCATCGATGCAAGAAATGAGCAACCAAAGGAGGGATCTGAGTTTTAGTGTTTCTCTTCCTTCCCAGGGTATGAAAGGAAGAGACTTTGTAGCTGTGAAATGATTATGGCATGAGAAAAGAAAAAAATAAACGAAAGGCTTTTTTGGGTTCTACTTTCCTTCAATGTAGGAATGAAAAATTCTGAGCTTTATTTCTAGAATTTTGCTTTGCATTTGCCTTTGCCTTTAGGGGTGTGATGGAGAAACGTAGGGAGGCGATATCATGATGTATAGAGGAAGGGGGAGGGGTCAAGCAAAATGAAGAATCCCCACAGAATAATAGTTTAAACAATAAAAGGCTGATTAAAGCAGATGCTAGAAAGAATCTTGGGCATACATGGGTACAAGCATTAACATCACAAAAAAAAGGATGAAGTCGAAAGACTTTTACTTTTTATTCTTCCTACGGGAGAAGTTATTTTTTTTTTTTTCATTTTAATTTTAATAGATCCAAAAACCATATTAAAATTTTTTTTACTTATTTTTTCATAATTTATTGAAATCAATAGTTAAATTTTTTTGTTTTTTATTTTATATAGTTGTAAGTTGATTTTTTCTTATATATAAGGAGAGATTAAGTTATATGACGTAAAATTTTTTTAATTATTGATTTTAATAAATTTAAAAATTTTTTATATTTTTTTAATAATTGATTTCAATATATACAAAAGATGAGATTAAACTATTTTTTCTTATTTTAACTTCTGTTTCATTAATTAAATTTATTAAAATCAATAATTAAAATTTTTTTTTTTTAATTTTACACTGTATAAATTGATTTCTCATATATATATATATATATATATATATATATATATATATATAAACGAGATGAATTTACATTGTTTTACTTGTTGGTTTTTTTTTTTTTTTTTTTCACTTACCTCTTATATTCTTGAGTATATTAAAATCAATGACTAAAAAAGTGTAAAACTTTTTAATTTCATATTGGTATAAAATTGATCAATTCCTATATATATATATATATATATATATATATATATAGTTTTTGGCATATACGTAACTCACGTGTAATTTTTATTTTTAAAAATTTATTTCAATAAATATTTTTTTAATACTATGATAATAATGATAAATTCTAATAATTTAATTTTGATTTTGGTATAATATAAGTAAAATTTGATAACTTTTGATATAATTTTGATGTTGATAACCTTTGATAAAATTTTGGTAATCTTTGATACTATTTTGGTAACTTATGATATAATTTTGGTAACTATTGATGCAATTTTGGTAATTTTTTTATAAAATTTTAGTAATCTCTTGATATAATTTTAATAATTTTTTAATAACTTATGATATTTTTTTGTAATTATAAATAAATTTTGTATAATTATATATTTAACAATAAATTCCTGTAGAAAAGTGCAAGTTCAATTTTCGTACGACATAAAATTTTTTTTATACAATAACATTATTGTTTTAATCAAATTTGAAATTCTTTCACTAAATTTTTTTATTGAATAGGTTTATGGTAGGTTTATCCTAATCTCCCAAGATAAAATTTCTAACTCCATTTTTGCTAGTAACCAAGAATCCAAGATTCAATTCTTAACAAGATTGAGTATAAAAAAATTTTATCAATGATTGATATTTAAGTAATTATTAATTTACTACTAAACTATCAATGACATATTGTTAAATTATCAATGATTTAATACTAAATAAGCATTGATTTACTACTAAATTAGCATTGATTTACTATAAGTTATGACTCATTTATTATTAAATTGTTGATAATTTATTATTAAATTACTAATGATTTGTTATAAAATTATAATTAATTTACTATTAATTTATCGATGATTTACTACAAAGTAATTAATGATTAACTAATTTGCTACTAAATTATCACTTATTTACAACTAAATTATTAGTAATTTACTACTAAATTATTAATAATTTACATCTAAATTATCAATGATTTACTATAATATTATTCATTTATTACTATGTTGTCATTGATTTACAACTTAGTTTTCGATTATTTACTACAAAATCATCAAATATTTATTATAAAATTGACTACGATTCATTATCAAGTTATCATTGATTTATATTAAAATATCTATGATTTACTATTAAGTTACCATTTATTAACTATTAAGTTATTGATAATTAACTACTATTAAGTTATATTGATACACTTTTAAATTTTCAATGATTAATTATTAAATTATTATTGATTTACTTTTAAATTATTTATTATTCACCACTAAATTTATCAATTAATTACTATTAAATTGTAACTAATTTATTATTAAGTTATCACTAATTTACTATTAAGTTAACACTAATTTGTTATAAGTTATCAATTATTAATTACTAAGTTATCACTTATTTTTTATTAACCTAACATTGATTTACTAATATATTGTTATGTATTTACAATTAAGAAATATGAAATTTAAAAGTCTACTAATAATATACGAGATAATTTTTTTATAAATAACATTATTGTTTTATAAAAATTATAATTTTTTCATTACTTTTTTATTGAATATGTTCATGGTAAGTTTACCCTAATTACTAAAATGAAAGTTTTGACTTCATTTATGCTAGTATCTAGGATTCAATCCCTGATAATTTCAAGTATAATAAAAGTTACCAATGATTGATTGTTATAGCGTATAAATTCATATACCTACCGTTAGACATAAACTTTATGAGTCACCATCAATCTTTTTTGTTTAGGTGTGATTAGTCACTGACTAAATCTATCTCATTTTAAAAAAGGGTCTAAACTTGATTCGGATATATTTAAAAAGTAGATTCTAATATACAAAATTAGATTTTAGGTTCAGGAGTACAGTTATACATGAGGAAGGTTATAACACCCTCACCATGCCTATCCAAAAAATAGTATTAGTTTGATTTCAAATTATCTAAGACATGAAGTAATTTTACTAAATAATTTAATTATTAAAATTGATCTTAAAATTACTTCAATAGTTTGATAGCGATTTAAGATAATTTTTTCACTTCAGGAGTATTCATAAAGACTAGTGTTCTATTCTGAAGAGGCTCTGTTTCGGATTCATTTAATCTTTTTATTGTAAAAAAAAAAGTTTTACTTTTAAAAATAATGTATTCTCAAAAATATATTCTAATATGTTGGTAAGATTTTTCGTCAAAAATTATCTTCCAATTTGTTTGTAGGATTTTTAAAAAATATTTTTTTCAAGAAAATTCATTAAGTTTTTCAGTATTTTGGTAAGACTTAATTCAAGATTAAATCTTTCAATAGTTTGGTAGGATTAAAAATATTTTTTAAAAATTTTTTAAACCTTTTTTTTAATTTCAAAGAAAAGAAAATTAATTAAAATAAAAAATTATCATACAAATAATTCTATGTAATAACAATATAATAATATAATAAATTATCATGCAATGAAAAAAATAATAAATAAATAAATAAAACATCCATAAATAATCTAACTATTTTTTATCATATTAATTCACTCACACAATAAAATAGAAAATAAAAATATAGAAAACACAAAAAACCAATAATAAAGGAAAAACAAAAAATAAGAAATCAAAATCAAAATTAAAAATTAAAAGATAAAAAAGAAAGCTAAATCGTGCTATTTAGGTCGAGTCACTAAACAGATCGCATGTGAATCTTCACAAGTTCATGTAGGAAGGCCCTCTCCCCAAAACAATGCTATTTTGCTGGCTTATAAAAGCTAATGTTTTGGTCTTTTCTTCAGAAGGCCTTTCTCTTTTCTCTTTAATTCAAACTGTCACTAAATTTTCTTTAGAAGTTTCACTGGGAAACTTAACCAAATGCAAAATCTGGCAAATAAACCTAAGTTTCGATGCCTAAAAATTCAATCGATCATCGAAAACTGTAAACTTTTTTAGAAAACCAATAAAATCCAAAAACTGGTCATCGTAGACCCCTTCAGCCATCATTGAAAGCCACTAAAAAATTCAAACTCCACTAGAATATTCAAGTAAAACCCAGAAAAAGCCTAGTTTTTTTAAAAAATTTCCAAAAAAACTATCAAACGCAAAAATTTTTAACAATTCCAAAAACAATCCTACAAATCAACCAAAATATATTCTAATCCAAGGATTTGAGTTTCCAACTAATTCAAAAAAAATCCCAAAAAATAAAAAATTCCCAAAAACCAAAAAAATCCTAGATTAAGAAAAAAAAATTCAAAACCCGAAATCAAATCCAAACCTAATACCCAAGAACTTCCTAAGCCGAGAAAATTGAATTTCCCATAAATTCAAACGAAATCCACAAATCCCAAAATAAAAAAAAAAAACCTAAATTGTTTTCAAAATAACTCAATGAACTTTTGTGAATTGAATAAATTCTCCCCCTTTAATTGATTTTCTGTTTATCTGTTTATAGGGATTGATTCCCTATTATTTGGGAACTAAATCAAATTGATTTTATGATTAAGCATGTGATTTGATTTGATTTCGCAATAATTGCATCCATAATCAAATTTGAGATTAAATCCCCCAAACAAAGTCCTTTTTTTTTTTTACTTTCTAAAACAAGTAAAATTAAACCAAAAAATTAAATCAAATAAAAATTAAAATTTTTTCTATTGGGCTAAAAACTTCACAACCGGGCCCATTTTACAATCGAAGGCCCATTTTTTATCCCAAAAAAATCTTGGACAAATTGGGGTATTTATAATTGTCCCTTTTTGCACAGTTTCTATGAAACAAAAATTATGCAAAGATAAAAAACATTTATTTTGTTCAGGTTCAGAAAAATCAAAAATTTAAAATTCAAAGTTTCACAATTTGAAAATTTAAGGGTTCACAAAATTTCAAAGATTCACAAATCTCCATAACAAGAATTAAAAGATTCTAAGATTCCAAGATTTGCAAAAAATTCAAAAATTCCTAATGATTCCAAAACTCACAAAATTCAATATTCACAAGAATTCCAAAACTTTGTAAATGATTCAAGATTCTAAAAATTTTCAAAATTCGTAAAGGTTTCAAGATTCATAAAGGTTTCAAGATTAGCAAAAAAAATTTTTTTTTTCAAG